CAATTGGCCCTCCATCTTACTGCAGAACTCCTGTCCACCCCCGCCAACAAATCCCTGTCTACTGGCATGCTGACTGGGGCTGATGAGTCCTATAACAGGTTCCTCAACCCTTCTTTAGACTGACCAGCAGCTCTCTGCGATATCAGGCAAGACATCTTTCCCAGTCCTACTTGAAGATGCCAAAGTTTGAACACGGGTCCATTAGCATCCAAAGCACCCACTTTATCATTAAGCAAGAGCCCCTCCTTATAGCACAAACTCAGCCATGGCCTGTCGTCTTCCTTGTGGCGTCCTTTAACCAACCCTGAACCCTGCCCGTGCTTACATAGCAATATAGGCCCGCATCACAGAGTTTGTGAGCTGGTCATGGTAACACACCGAAACCAAAATAGCGCTTCATGCAAACCAGGTTGCCCTTAGCTCTCAATCCTTACCTGACTGGTTAGAAATTGCCTCCAATGATGAATTGGTTGAGTAATATTCTACTGAAACCCAGTAAAATTGGCAGCCTTAAAAATGGTGATTATTTGTACTCACTAAACATGGCATAACTATGGATTGTTAGCATTATTATTAAGGTCATTTTCAGGTTGATTTATACTCCCCAGAAATGGAGCTATATGGGATTTAAATGTCCTGGTGTGGATGCTTATTTTAATGAGCAGGCATTTATGGAACTCAGTTCTGGGGCAATTCAGGAAAGCTCCACTGCCAACACCTTTTAAAGGAGCTCTAAAGGGATACTTTTTAAAAGGACTGTACAAATCTTTGGGTTGATTTAATTTGTGAGGTAGGCTGTGGTGGTAGAATGGTTGGGCTATGGATCCAATGCTGATTTCAGCCTGTTTCGGTCTATGCCAATGATAGTAATGGGATTTTAATTTTTGTACTTTGCTGATCATTATCAATATATTTTAGTGCCTGTAAACCATGTTCTGAAAAGCGGTACCCTGAGTCTTTTAAATGAATAATTAACCAAATAAATAATAAAGCTGGATGCTACCCATTCACCACTTTTTGTAGCAGGGAAAGAAACAGAATGTCCTGCACATTATCTTTAGACTTGGGCTGGGATGCTGTTGGACTGCAGCTTCCATCAGATACAGCCAGGAAACAAAGCCAGTGAGTGGTCAGGGATGATGGGATGTAGTAGTCTAGCAAAATCTGGAGCACCAAAGGTTCCCATCTACCATGGAAGGAGCATCTACCATGCTAGGCACCACTAACGTCAAAATTGGTTAACCTTTGGGCATATAACGTGTGAATCAATCACAATGAAGTCTGTGATATGAAGAAAGGAAATCAGTGCAAATGCTTGAAATTCTTGCTGTACCAGCACTTAAGGGCTTATCGTGTAGTGTAACAACAGCTATACAGGAGCAATACCCCTCCAACCCATACGTTACGGTTTTACTGCTTAAGTACAGGTCACCTCAGCTGTAAACAACCACATGGAAACAATATAATGCCCTATGCACTACCATACAATCCATAATTAACAAGAAGGCTTTAAGTAATTGGGCAGATAAGATGAACATTTCAAACTGCCAAGAGAAAAAGCGTCCTTGTTCCAATCAAAATGCTAATATTTCCAAGTGTACAAGCTGATTCATACAAGCTATTCCAAAGGTTGCAAATCAATTCCAGTTACCCTAATAAAATCTTATCTTCATTAACTTCTCTCTTCCTTTATAAAATCTATCTTGTTGGGAATTTTCAATATTTGTTCATGTATTGGCTAATCCAATTCTTGCAGTTTTTATATATACTGGTGACAATTCTTCTTGTGCCAAATCTTCCATGTACCCAAGCAAAAACCTTATTGGGTGGAGGTGTAGGTCATTAGTATGAAAACGCATCCCCAGCTGGTTCTGTTCCCACCCACCCCCACCCCACCCCTGGAATAGTCTTGATTTATCACTGAACACAACATGTGTGTATCATCACTCCCCACCAACCCCTGAAAGGTGATAGAACTTCATAATGAGCTCAGTCAGGGAAGGTGATGCTCTCTACACAGCAAAGGAAGTCAACGCAGTGCCTTTCAAATGTTTTCATTGACTCTCATCATTCCTGACCATTAGCGGTGCTGGGTGGGGTTGATTCGAGTCGCAGTGTGCAATATCTGGAGGGCTACCCCTGCCTTGTAGAGTTTAAGGCATTCTCAATGACCTCTACAGTGGTCCTGTGTGATAGCCCAACTTTTATTACCATGCCAAAGGTGAGGCATGTGACTGTGGGTGAGTATAGATTTACTATTCGGCAATCTCATGGTTGAGAGAGTGACGAGGAACCCCCATTTTGCAGCTCTACTGACTAACCTTGGTTAAATTTCCTGCATTAAATGTGTATTCTGCAGCCGATCTCCTACGTAATGTTTTATTTTGAAATCTTTTAAAGGGTGTGTGTGATTGGGTTGTTCTTGTTTTTATTTTTATTATGTATTATGTATTTTTATATTGTGGTTTTATCCCGTGAATCGCCCTGAGACCTGCGGGTAGGGTGATATACAACTTTAATAATAATAATAATAATAATAATAATAATAATAATAATAATAATAGTTTTCTGTTAATTATGTTGCTTTGAATGTATACTTTATATGTGACTTCCTTCAGGGATGTTTTATTATGGTTGTTTTATTTGATGTTTTAATGTGTTGTAAACCGCTTTGAGACTTTTCCTTAAAAATATAAAGCGGTATAGAAATGAAATGCATCAAAGTAATAATAATAACCACTACACTACAACACTTAACGAATCCTTCTAATCCTGGATTACCTAGTATTACCAAGAGAATAGTGCTCGTCTTGTAAGATTTCACGGGAAATATAGGTTTATTTATTACTTTTCCAAGTGAGTTGGCGGGGAGAACTCTCCATACAGCAACCAGCAGTTTTTCAATCATCTCGCTGTACGTTGCCAGGGTGACTGATAAGCCTGTTTGTTATTACCTTTTGCAATAAAGGATGTGTTTAAAAGTGTAGTGAATAGGCACATACTGTAAAGCTATTCTTTGATGTTCACATCTCTCTGTGCAAACGAGAAGAAGGGCACTTACCCATGGCTGAAATAATCCACGTTTCACATCACTTGCCCAATCCAACATGAATCCTCAGAACGATACAGAAATTTCTTTGAGGGAGGGATGGTTTTGCACCAGGGCATGCAATTAATAGATGGGGATTTGGCCATGCATCACATTCTCTGGTTCCTAATTAGCGAAGTACTGTGGACCTCCTGTTTTTTCAAAAGCCAAGCCATGGACCCCCTACTTTTGAAAATGTTGATAGCTCTGAAGTAGTTTTTGTTAGGTGAATGGTGCCATCATACCTTCCAATATGTCCCGGTGCAAAACCAGGCCAAGCTCTTGATCAAGTCATTTAACCGGCGCAAGAGCACAGTGCCCCAAAACGCATGCTTTGGGGCGCAACGATCTCACACGTTTTTGGGTGCTGTGCTCTCACGTGACAGCATGGCTCCCCAAAATGTGATGTCCCAGACAGCTGATGGGTATTGCTATGGACCCCCTGGGTGGGTTACCTGGACCCCCCAATTGGGAACCATTGCTGTAGCTGCTTCTGAGAAATTTGGGTGGGAGACTGACAGTAACAATCACCCGTTATGTGAGGCTTGGAGAGCTGACATTTTTCAGCTTAGCTCCTACGGAGCCTCCGCCACACCTCCCTGCCAAGACCTGCAGATTGTCCAGCTGCCCAGGTGAAGTGCCTTGCCCTACCAAAGCATCTGGAGCCACCTGACTCTGGTTGCTAAGTAACACATGTGGGAATGTTGAGGGTGGCAGGAGAGGATGTATTGTTTATGAATATCCTTCCTAACTTGCGCTAGCAAGTTCCTTCACTTAGCAGAGTGCATTCCCCTTCTTACGCAGCAAAAAGCTGGTTGCAAACTTGTGTGAGTTTCTTAAGACAATAAGCAATTCAATCTGGCTTGAGATATGTTCTAATATACTAATATTCCTGAATCCCTCCTAAAAGAATAAACACACCACAGTCTTATTCATAAGTAACAAAAAGTAGTTTTACTCATGATCAGGCAGAGCACAGTGTGATCCCTGAAGGCAGGCTTTAGGCTTAAAGTTACAAACATGTTCAAATAGGTTTGCCCCATATGGGAGACAACCTGGGGAGACTGCTTCACTGGCAGCCAGCAGTAGAGGAAGTTCGCAGGACGAAAGGGAAGATTGAAGAGAGAGCGGTGGCAGTGTGACTGGACCTTTTGTTAAGTCAGATAAGGTCACGCCCACCTACTAGTCACATGCAAGGAAGGATGATCCAGACCAGGAGGAACAGGAAGTTTTGACTGGCTGGACCAAACATTCCCTTGCATGTCCACAATAGGAAAACAAGGAATGTTGTACTTGACTGCTCCTGCAGAAGGACGGGAACAGAACTCTTTTCAGACCTCATGGGAAAGCTTACAGGGGTGGAAGAGGCCAAAGGCGCGTGGTCAAAGGATGTGAATCTTTCCCTTTGTACCATATCCCAGCTGCACAAAATTCTGAGGTTTCTACACCCATTCAGCCTCCATCCCAGGCACTATCACAGTTCCAGGAAACACTCCAGCCAGGCGAAAGCTCTCGTGGAGGGTCCATAGAAGGGCCAGAGAGTGGTGTGTCCTAGTGAAGATCAGATAGAGACCTGGGAGGCCCCCAGGACAGAGGTTCCCCAACCCTGATCTATATCCTGGGCAGTGAACATTTTCCATCATTGCCACCTCCACTCCACGGCCTTCGCAAACCACCTTTAGAAAAGAATCTAACGCTTATTACATATCAATTTGGACAGTTTGAAAGCACAACATGTTGCACTCTTAACTGCTCCGGGCTTCCACATCAGGCAAAATCCAGGAATCCTATATTTAACACAGCGGTGGAGTGCAATGGAGCTCAGACTAAAAAGCCGCAGCGCAGTTTACTCCAGGCCTAGAGCAATGGCACCAGGTGCTCTTGAGTTTGCTTTGTCTTTCTTTCTTTTTTTAAAGAAGTTTGGCCACCAGGTGCAAAAGTAAAAACTTATCCTTCTGCACTAAATGGACCGGCTCCATAATAGAGAATGACAGCTGTACTTTGGCCAATTGCCACAGGTGAGTATCATGCAACCGTTTTAGCGGACGAGGTGTGGGCTCAGCAGATGCAATGAGCATTTCGATTCCAAGCGGGTGGCTCAGCATTACTGCGTGTTAAATACAGAGATAAATAATGCACAACTTGGAAAGAGGCAAAGAAGCCTTGGATCAAGCCCATTGCCAACATGTTATTACAGCAGGGCTGGCTCAAGATCCAGGAGATCCTGTGTCAGTCCAGCCCAGAGTGAAACTTCGCTTCCGCCCAAACACCCTGGTGGATCACAGATTTGGATTATTCGGCCTGGCTGCTGTCCTAACCCCAGATACCGAGGAGTAAGCCCCATTGAATCAAACAAGACTTTTCTTCTAAGCAGATGTGGGAAACACTGCACTCTTCATCTGGATCCAACCCAGATGTCTATTTGTTGCCAGCCACTTTTAGCACTACATAAAGGTAAAGGGTAAAGGGACCCCTGACCATTAGGTCCAGTCGTGGCCACTCTGGGGTTGCAGCGCTCATCTCGCTCTATTGGCCGAGGGAGCCAGCGTACAGCTTCCGGGTCATGTGGCCAGCATGACTAAGCCACTTCTGGGCACCGCACGGAAACGCCGTTTACCTTCCCGCTGGAGCGGTACCTATTTATCTACTTGCACTTTGACGTGCTTTCGAACTGCTAGGTTGGCAGGGACCGAGCAACAGGAGCTCACCCCATCGCGGGGATTCAAACCACCGACCTTCTGATTGGCAAGTCCTAGGCTCTGTGGTTTAACCCACAGAGCCACTCGCGTTCCTCTTAGTACTACATATTTGTGGTAAATGCAGTAAATCATAGAGGCTCATGTCCCACACAGGGATCAAACCTGCAACCTTGGGGTTTTCAGCAACATGCTCTAACCAACTGTGCTACCGGGCTAAATAAATGAACTGACTATAACTATGGACTTACCTGGCAGTGGTGAGCAGCAACAATCCAAGCAGCACTAGGGGACTGCATCTGGCTGCTGTTTAAATTCCCCACAATGCTCCAGATCGATGTTGTGCAGGGGCTCAGTGGGAAATTATAATGAGCTACTTAATGCTCAGGACAGACACCCAGACAGCTACACAGTGATGCCAAATACTGGTGGCAATCAAGGGGTGGGGAGGGGATTTTTATCTTAATTTATGCTGTTGTTTTGCCTGCTGTCCATTTTGGGAGCAATTTTATACTGATTTTTTTAAAATAAAAAAATGATTTTATCATATTCCCTTCGGAGAGTTTAGCTGAAGGCTGGCCTAAGAATCTCCTCACCCCACCCCAACATGAAAATTGTTTGTGAGACTGATGGAATAGCTGGTCTTCTTGAAACCTGAGTACTTAGTTATCAGAAACCACAAAGTAAAATTAATAGCAATGGGATTTATCCAAGTCAGAAGCTTAATAAATAAAACAACAGGCTCACACAGAGTAACTTTTAGCTTCCCTTTAATGCCTTAAGCCTCTATTTTATGTCGAAACAAATTCACTCTGAAGGAAAGCCAAGTGCTTTTAATGGAAGCAAAGATCACTTCTGATGATATCTGAAGAAGGGTTAGGTATTGAGAATGATGTCTTGGAAGCCAAGAAGCCAAGCATTTAAACAGGCAATTTTCCTTTTATTGAGATATTTTTGCCACAGAGGTTGCTCCTTGTTCTCTAAAGCATTTCACACACATTAAGGCTTTAAAGAAACGACTTAACACCGGCATAGGGATACCCCAACCACTATTCACATATACATGCCTGGATTTCTAAATCTTATTTGATAAAAGCAGGGCTTGACGACTAAGAGTGGGGAGAGATAATTTATTAGATAATGAAACTGGCTGCCACCAGACAGGGTGTAAGGTGGTGGAAGAACAGAAGATGGGACAGGGCTATAAATCAGGGGTCACTAATCTTTTTAGACCCATGCACACATATTGATTTTTTGAGTGAGTGCTGTGAGTGCTACCCTCTCTTCTCACTCCCCTCGCTGAGTGCAGCCCTCCACCCACAGGAGACTGAAAGAGTGCACATGTATTGCTTTCTCAAGGAATCTGGGTAGAACAACCCTTGGAAAAACACATAGAGGTGAAAGAGGAAGTGGGAAAGACTGTCACTCTTCCAATTTCATCCTTCAGTTCTACCTACTTTTCAAGGGTGAAAAGGGTAACCACTTCCAACACCTCATAACCAAAGAGGCATTGATGAGGTGGGGTGGCTAAGGGGCTTTGTGAGCCTTGTAAATCATGGTCACCAGTGGGCTGTTGCCCAAACTAGCAACGCTATATGAAATTCTCCGCCATAAATGTTTAGGATCACTTACCCATAGCTGAAGGTGTACCTAGAGTCTTCTTGCTCCCCTCCCCCAGAAAAAAACAAAACACTTCTCTCATGTTGGATCTCACCATGGCATGATAGGAACAATGCCTTCATCATCATCATCATCGGGTTTTCCTTTGTGGCTAGGCATTCATGTCCCATTTGGGAAGAACAATGCACACGTCTGAGCATGGCCATGTCTACCTAGGTGAACTCACTACATAATGCATCCAAGTGGCAGCAGACACTGGCAACTGGAACCACATCTATCCCCAAGTCAGGGCACAATTTGCAGCGAGACAAATTGTTGGAATTACGTTGCAGAAGGAATGCTTCACATTTCATTTTCTCAGATTGTGTTCCTTGCTCAAAGCATTGCCATGGCAATAAAACATAGTTCACGTAATTTGGTGGTTGCGGAGCCTTGAACAAAACAGAGCTGTGCTAGCAACTGTGCCACAACAGAGTTATTTCACACCCTAAAGGACCATGGTAACTCGGGACCCTCCCTGGTTGTTCAGGAAGGGCATCCACAACCAGCATATTTGCAGCTATACGTATGGCCCACGCATTTGCTCTAGCCTCCTAATCTAGAAATAAGAGAGCAATTACGATGTAACAGGTAAGATGTTGCAACTAAAATGCAGGGGCCCCATGTCAGGATTCCCAAGCACTGTGGCTGTGTACGCACCCTACGTTGCAGGAACATTCAAATCGCATTTTCACCTTCCCTCAAAGAACACTGGGAACTATAGTGTGTCAAGGGTGCCGGGAACTGCATCTCTGTGAGGGGGGAAACTACAGTTCCTAGGATTCTTGAGGGGAAAATGTGTGCTTGAAATGTACTTGAACTGCATGATGTATACACAGCCTAGGAAGCATATTGTCAGGAGGCCAGGTTCCCAGCTTGATAACACAGTAAGCGTAGATAATTAAAAAGGAGGATTTATTGCAAAAACAGATAGCTCTGGACGGTTCTAACAAAGCCTCCGGCATCATTACTCAAAATGATCCTTCTTCAGTATCTACAGAATACATTGAACCGACGCCCCTTGTGTCTCGTTTTGCTTCCTGTCTTGAAGCCCTCCCATTCACTGACTCCTAGGACAGATTGGATTAGTGCCAACCACTTCCTTTTCCAATGAACTGTCTCCTTGTCTATTCGAGCCCATTTCAGCTTCTGGAGAGCTTTGGCTGTGTTCTAGCCTGCTCCCAGCTACTTATCAGCTTGCCTGTAAAGGTCAGGAAGAGCCGAATTCTGCAGCTGCCGGCTCTCCCCTGTCTGTCTAACATCAAAGCCTCCCTGTTCCTGGCTGTTTTCTGCATTTGGCTGCAAACCTTTGCTTGGAGCTGGCTCATTCCTGACACATATAGGGTGAGCTTCTGCAAGAATAGAAGCAACCCAAAGTGCTCACAATGGAGATGCCTGCTAGGGCTGATGGGAGTCTACCAACACGGGGCGAAGGGAGAGCAAAGGTTTCCCCCACACTTGATCTGAAGTCTCTGGGTCAATGAAGGGGTGTCTCTATTTACAGTAGCAGATCTGGGGAAGAATTCTGATTTAGGAATGGCCGTGGAGACAGACAACAAGTACATTTCTGGAAGAGATGAAGCAGGGCTTTGAACTCTTGCAAGTCACTTGTACACACATTCTGGTTATGCCTCTAGGAAACAGGTTCTGCAAGTTTTTGTCCTGTTATGAAAAAAGGAACGTGCATAGAACCGAAAGCTTCCCTGGACTATTTGCAGCTCTCTTAAATGCTACTCACAGTAGATGTGGTAGAACAACAACTCCCATCATAGATAAAAGAATCACAAGGGTTATCTGGTCCAACTCCCTGCAATGCAGAATTCTTTTACCCAACATGGGGCTCAAACTCACAACCCTGAGATTAAGAGTCCCATGCTCTACCAACTGAACTATGTTCCCTGATCATTGTCCATGCTGGCTGGGGCTGATGGGAGCTGGGAGTCCAACAACATCTGGACGGCACCAGATTGGGGGAAGATGATGCCCAGAATGTTCCATGGGGCGGAAATCCTGAAGATTTCCACAGCTTAAGAGCTTACTTCTCACACCAGCATAATCAACCCACCCCATCCATTGCCTAATAGCTGACTTTTTCCATAAGACCACAGGGTGATAGCCAACTAAATCATACTCAAAGGAGACCCATTGAAATATGTGCATATAAGCCCCCTCATTTCACTGGAATGTTGGATATAATCCATAGAAACTACTCTTGCAAGTTGTCTTGGTAAAACTTCTACACCTTGGAGTTAAACAAATGAGGAACTGATGCAGGTTTAGCAGTGTGATACAGTGCTGGAACTTTTAATTAAAACATCTGTTTAATGCTGTTTGTATGTTGATCTTATCTTTCCTGCTGCTTGAGGGTCACCATGCAAATATCACCAGGGAGCTTCTTCTAAACAGATTTTCTCAAGAATGTAAATATATTATTTCACTGGGTGGGTGTGCTACAAAAGATCTGCGGCTTCTGCTTGCAGAGAGGTGTTTGCTTTCGACGTTTTACAAAGGGGTTACATGTCTAATTTCTGCTGTGGCTGCTGCAAGGGAGGGCTGGTTTTGTTGAGTTTGGAAAGCTGTTCGGGATTTAATAGTGGGGGGGTAAAGAGGAGCTGGCCGTGGTGCCAGGGTTGCCCTGAGGCAGGGTTGTGGAGGTCCTGTGTGACCCCCTCAAACGTTGCTGAATGACAACCCCCATCATATCTGAGCATTGGCCATGCTGATAGAGTTGGAGTAGATGGTTCCTCAACTCTGTCTTAAAGTGCAACTGGGGAAAAATAAAATAAAATGACAGCAGCAAAAACAAGGGAAAAGAGGGGTTCAGCAACGATGTTCTTGGACTGCGGAATCGCAAAATAAAAAGGAAGAACTGGGCCTAAGAGTTCTGCTGAGTGTATCAGATTTAAAACAAAACAGTTCACAACCCCTAATCCTTCACCAGATTGTGAAAGTGAATGGTGACACATAGAGGGCTTTACGAGGCCAGGAGGATGCATGACCTTTCAAAGCTTGCTTTTTCTAAGTAAACAAACCCCTGGCTATGCACAGATTTCAGTAAGGTACAGCCCTGTAAAAGAGAGATTTTAAGCGAGAGACAGTACTATTTCCACAGTACTTTGCAAAGTGTATCAGGCACCAGGGTGTTGTCGCCACGTTAGTCCCATAGAAGATGGCACAAAATGATGTCTTAAAAGCCTTTTTAATGCCTTATATAATGCAACTTCTGATGCAACGGGTGGAAGAAAATTAGGAATCTCTTAAGTAGGCCTTAGGGAGGTACAGCTGTGCTTCTTCCAGTAGGCTCCAATCTAGAGATAGGGGCAATTGTTAGGTTTTGCTTGAATAGAAACGTCTTAATTAACACTTTCTGAACCAATACACAAACTAAAACAGCTATTGTTTGAAATTCACGCTTCCCTGAATTTTGCGGTGCAGTTCGCCAACCAGCCAATGTATTTAAACATGCATATGTTTTGGGAAGATGTGCATCAAAATTCACTTATTCATGAAAATGACATACAAAAATGTGTTATATATGGGGAAACTGCTTGCATAAGTGTATATACTGGTCAAAACTGCATACAAAAATGTGTTTATTAAGAGGAATTCACACTAAAATGCTGATGAATTTAGATGACAATTAATAATAAAAAAATCCATAGAAATGTAGATTACTAAATTTAATACTGGGGGGAGAAACTGAGAGAAGCAAAACTGAGCCTTCCCTCCCTACTCCTACTCTTAATCACGTATACTCAGAAATAAGTCCCACTAAACTCAATGGGGCTTTCCCCCAGGTAAGTGGGGTTAAGACTGCAGCCCACCCACTAAATAGGAAGAGCATTATCAGCAGATCATCCCAAAAGGGGCATAGATCAAAGAATGGAGGCTTGTAATTCTCTTCTCCTGGCATTTGCGCTGACTCTTAATTAGAGCTACCCACTTATAACCAGGCAAATTAGTAACAATCGGCCACTCTGTGTGCCAGCGGTGTAGGATGAACACAATACAAAGGGGTTTACTGAGAGCAAGCATAATAATGAGTGTCCAGTAAAATAATGTTTTGAAAATAATTAAATACTTAACTGGAGCACATATCACTAATACTTAATGAAGGCTCTCTGTTATCATGAAAAGAAATGTCAGTTTTCTGAGTAAGAATCTGCCTCGTACTTTACACAAATTCACACTTGCTCACAGGTTGGTTTTTCGTTTCTTTTCCTCACTTCCTTGCTGTTGCCCTCTGCTGACTCCACAAGGCCTTTCTTCACACAGTTATTTTCTCTCTCTTTTTTGGAAATTAAGAGAGAGGACTTTTGCTCAGGCACCCCCCACTAAAATCACATGCAAAACAACCATATCTAATAACTTTCCCATGTATTATGGGCTTAACTATGGAAATTTGAACAGCCTCTAGAAAATGATGAATGCGCAAGACAACCTGTTTTTAAAGCAACTCGGGATGTTTTTACCTGACACATTTTATGATCTTTTTTTTGTGTGTGGCTTTATTATGCTGTTTTACTGTCTTTCCAGTGCTGGTTATTGTATTGTATAGTTGTTTTTCATTTTTCCTTGTGACCTGCCTCGGGAACACCACTGTTTCTGAAGGTAGTGTATATAATATTTTGATTACAACAACAACAACGCCGCCCTGACTTCACCGCTGCCAGATGGAATGATGTGAAGTTACAAACAGGGACTGCAACATGTTGCAATGTATCCCCCACTTCCTAAGAGAGCTTTTGTTCAGGGGGCTTCAGCCAGCCAAGAACAAGAGCCTTTTATGCTGCTCTGAGCTGCTTGCAGGAAGCGTAGGATAAAAATGTAATTAATAAATACACTCAACTAGAGCAGCTTCACAGGAAGACTGCAGCACTGGAGTCAGGAACCCACCAGGTTCCACCAGTCTCCAAGGGCTGGCCACCTCAATGGGTTCCTCACTCCCTGCAGAGCAGAACAGCCACATTCAGACTAAAACTCACCAGGGTTAAGAAGGCTTCTTCTTCCTCTGCAACTACTGCTTCCTCTGCAACTACTGGTGCCCTCCAGATGTTTTGAACTACAAGTCCTATCAGTCATCACCCACTTGAAGACCGAAATAGAGCCTGGCTGTAAAATCCCCTACAGTACTGTGCATTTGGGTGCATGCAAGAAGACAGGAAGGACGGCATCTGCTCCTTTGAGTTGTCTAATTGCAGCACTTGGGCTTGCAGCCAAATAGTGATGAAGCATCCCCTCCCTTGTCCGTCCCCGCTCCCAACATCCAGGCTTTGCTACGACACCTGGTGCTTCTCTTGTCCCCATCAGTCAATCCCAGAGTGAGCAGGAAATGCACAGGGATCACATTGGTTCCATTAGCAGGATGAGGCAGCGGAAAGTGGGGTATTGATCTCTCCCTGCAAAGAATGCTGAGGTGACACTTCTGATACAGCCCGTCCCTTTGCGGTGGGCTGCAGCCGACACGGCTGACCTCTGTTTAACGTAAATCTCTCTCCTCATGCCTGACCCTGGCCTTTGGCCAGGAAGTCTCTGAGAAGCTGTGCTTGGTTTGACAGCACTAATAAATACAGTACTCCTGTCTAGCATAATGGAGGAGCAGGAGGAGCTGCATTCTGGCTTTCAAAGTGCAAACTCTAGCATTACTTTCCCTCCCTCCCCCCATCTGTCCTTTGAGCTCCGAATATCACACTAAGCAGGGCCTTCCTGGTTCTGCTATTTAGCTACAGCACATCAGAGGGAGACTGCAAAGGGGCTCTTTTCTTCCTCCCATCCCAATGCAGATCTGTTCTTTCTTTTGAATAATTTCTAGTAAAAGTGCTGCTAATGGCAGTCAGTTGCAGCTACGTTGTGGAAAGTTGCCTCCTTGCAACTTGGGAGATTCATACCACATTGCTTTAAGATAGCTCTATTTTTGTGTGAATGTATGTCTACATAAATTAAACGTCTGTCATCCAACAGGCGCTGTAGGCGCCAAAGGTAACTATTTGATTCAACTCGGTGTTCCTTTATTTGCCCCTGGTTTAGCCCATGTCAAAAAGCACAACTAAACGCAGCAACCAAACTAAGATTATTGGTCAATGCACCTTTCAGCACTTGATTAGCAACCCTCTCCGTCCTGCCAAGCAATCACTGCTGCAGTGATTTCCACTCCGCTCCTCTTGTCTCCAACAGGCTTACAGGCAGCAGGCAGAAAGCAAAAGAGGACTAGATCACATTTGCAAACGTAATTCTCAGTTTAGGTTTAGGCTTCCAACTCTGTCATTGGATTGTTATGAGGTCAACCCCCTTCTTCCAGCACTGTCTCGCTCAGATCTCTGGGGGTAACGAATGAGGAGGGCTAATTTGAATAGATTTGATACTGTGCCGACAAATTAATAATACCAAACTTAGGATTGCACATATGCTCTCCACTAGGGCATGACGAATGAGCCCTGACAGCTGTCCCACACAGCCTCCAGCATGCGTGCTGCTCAGCCACACGTTGCGTCTTCACAACTGCTCCCTAGCATGTGCCGATGTGAAGCGAAGGTCACTTGGGCAGCACAACTGCGAAGAGATGACACAGCCTCAGCTTTGCAAGCCCATATCAGCCTCACACAAATGAATAGTGTTCATTTGTCCTCCAGGATTAAGTCTGCAAAGCAAGGAAGGCTTCCTACAACTCAACCAGATGCACAAACACCAGCATCTCCCTGTTGCATTCCAGGCCCAATCCACACAGACTTCCAGCATGCCTGCTCCAACCTGATACGTCAGCACATCCATCGGATTGGTAGTAAAAAAGGAGAAGCCACCGAAAGGACTATGCTGGGTGAGATAATATAAAGTAGCATCTATGTTGCATTTCATGGATGGACTCTTATGCTCCTGACCTGACATATTTAATGTACTCAAGGAAGCGTGAACTTATGGCCCAGGGTTATAACATGTGACACTGAACTGTGAAGTGTGGTCCTCTATGCAATGGCACCAGGAAGCTTGTGATACACACTACAAAGGAAGCTGCCTGCCATTATTGAATCATGCTGAGCTATTGCTTCACCTATGACTACACTCACTGCAATAGCTCTCCAGTGCTTCCTAAAGGAGTCTTCCACAGTCCTGCAGTTAAATGCCAGGCATTGAACCTGGGACCTTCTTCAAAGCAGGTGCTCTTCCACTGAACAACAGCCTTCCTTTACATAAGCAATGTCACTGCTATTATTACAGAGCCAAAAAATGGGAGACTGGGTGAAAGTTTCACTAGTCAACACATGAAAAGTAATTTTGACACTAGGGGCTGCCTGGCTGGCACCAATGTGTGACAAGGCCTCCTTGGTGGTGGCTCCCTGTATGTGCAGTGCCCTCCCAAGTTGAGGTGCATTTGTCTCCAGCATTATTAACATCCCTCTTTCCCAAGCATTGGATGGCTTAAAGGTACTGTTCCTGATAACCCTGCACACTTAAATGTTTTTAATATGCTTTAGTTTTATTTTTAATTGCACTGTGTTGTTTGCCACCCCAGGCTCCTTAGGGAGGAAGGCTGAGAAAGAAATTTAATTAATAAATAACATGTACAACTCCTTGAGTTCCTTGGAGGAAAGGTGGGATATAAATGTAATGAATGGATGAAAGAATGAAATTGATGAATGAATGAATGAATGAATGAATGAACAAAGTATTTGTGGGATGCATGTAGAAGCATCCTTGCAAAGGAACCACAGTGAGATAGGAAGCACATTGTGAAAAAAAGACAGAGCATAACAGAATAATGTACTGATACCATACGCTGGGCGGAACAATTAAAAAAATGTGAGTAGAATGGAGAATTATTTAACTTACTTTATTTTTATACCACCTTATAAAAAGTGAGTAATTTGCAACTGAACAAGCAACATCAAGTGGATGAAAAATATCTGAATCCATTAAAAATAAATAAAAAGCGAAGTTGGAGACACTGGTTCCTAAAATTCATCTGGGTTGCACTCAAGTGTGTTGAAGAGGGACGCTAATTCCCCAATATAGTGTCTTGCAACTTCTTCAAAAAAACAAAAAACCCTCTGTGCAGACACACACAGTGATTACTGTGAGACCTGAAATGTTTTACATAAATGAATACAAATGATAATTCAGAGTTATGGCTCAGTCTCTCCACTATTATCCTTGATCTATTCTCCTGCAACCCCATTAAGGAGTCTCATTTTTAAATTTTTAATGCCAATTCTGGCACATAAACTGCTAGGGGATGGAATAGA